CGTGCCAGGTCGTCCTGACCTGCTGGCGTACCGTCAGTTCCCAATTTCTCCAAACTGGGTGGGGTGAGATCACCCCGTCCTACTGGGCTAATATCAGTTCCCAAATCTGATGTCTACATTATGTTAGACATATTATTAGAATTAGTAAGTAAATTATGATATGATTAACCCCTCAGTCTGCAGGCCTCACCATCAACCCTGCCAAGTGTGCTGTTGCCAAGAGGAAGGCAGGTGCAGAAGCTGGAGGCTAGGCTATCCAGAGATGCCCCTTGCCTCAGACTAAGACTCAAGTACGGTCATTTCTGGGCATGGCCGGGTGGTACAGAAGATTTGTGCCCAAATTTCTGTTAGGGTAGCTGCCCTTACAGATTTGACACGTAAAAATTCTCCAGTCCAGGGGCCTCATGAGGGCATAGAATTCACACTAAAACATGGCGTACGGACAAAACTAGGAATGTGCGTAAGCAAGAAAAAATCCAGATGCATAAAACTGTGCGTAAGCACTGATCTACGCACATTCCCTTTATAAATCACAATGAGCGTGAAATTTTACATACGTGAATGAGCCCACGGTCACCCCCCCTACCCGCCCATAATTATGTATATTTGCATATGTAAATCTGTATAAATGCCTGCTTTGTTCTATGTTTTTCTTAAACAACAATGGATAAACCACGTGGGAAAAAGATAGTATTTCAGCGAGTGCAAAGTGCATGTCATGTTAACAGAAATCGAAAAAAGAAAAGTGGATATTATTTGGTGATATAAGTGGCATCAGCAATAAACGAAAGTTGACGGAGTGGCACAGCGTGGCGGAGTCAGTTAAAAGTATTGGTTCCGAAATTCGCACGGTGGCCGAAATGAAAAAGAAGTGGTCGGACGTTAAAATCGACATGAAAAAACAAGCGGCCGCTCACCGTAAGAGTCTTAACAGCACAGGCGGAGGTAGCGAAATTCCCGGTCTCACACCCTTTGAGCAACTAGTTGCTGCAATGATTGGGGACACACTTTTATCGGGTGAGGGGGACGCCAATATCAGCGCGGGTGAGTTTTTCTCGTACCATACTTGTTTTAATTACTTGCATGTTTATAACACGTAGGGCGCAGATGCGGTGTTACTTTCGTTTATTCTTTTTGTTTATTCTTACAGACAATAGTACAAGAGGTGCCCCCAGTGCAGAGGACGAAACAGGCGGTGATGGTGCTGCTGTGCCGAGCACATCTTTGGGCGCTGGCTGCACATATTCCCGTGCCTCAGAAACCAGGGGGCGACCATCCGGCCGTGTGCTGACTGAAGCTGTGCTGCAGTCACAAAAAGAAATCGTGAATGCCAATGAATTAAAACATCTAAATGATACGCTGTGTGATACTGAAGTTGTAACGCTGTTCCATTTGGCGGAAAAATTTGGTGGCTCAGGGTCAGGCTCATCTTGCCTAAGCTCTTCAGATACCGGCAAGCCACGATTTTGTGCCAGATTATGCAACACACTACATGCGTGAACAATCCCAATGAGCGTCCCAAATACCCGATCGGTCTGCAAGTTCTCACTGAAAAGCATCTGTGGCTAAGAACCCACGAGTGGACAAAACTTGTAAAAGAACAGGTAGCTGATAGCGCAATTCCTCATCGTCTGGCTTTGTAATGCTGGCCCC